TTAACCAAAAGTTGCAAGTGTCCATCAAGTGAACTAACTCTAGTGTTATGTTTGATGCAGCTGTAATGCTGTAAACTTTGTGTCGGTATCAGATCTTGTATGGCCATATCGTATTCCATCCCAGTCTCCTTCCCCACCCCCCCAAGATAAATTGCCAGTGGTTGTAAATCAGTGCTGGAAAAGTAAACTGTGACCATCTTAGTTTTTTGCACCTGCCCTAGCTTGAAATAACCAAACACAGGCAATGAAAACGGCATTCCAGATTTGACTTAATCAGAGCTGCATTGTGCAAGGGCACTAATAGTAACTGGAGATTCCCCTGCAGCCTCCCACTTCCCACTTCATAGCCATAAAGTCTTTGAGACTCATTGTCTTGTGGCTGTCTATACCAAGAGTCCCCCGTGTGCGCCCATGGGTGCCATGGCTCCTGCTAACACCGTTCTTGACATACAACAAACCGTTTTCAAAAAGTGAGCGGGGCTAGGTGGGACTTTTGCCCAGCAGGGCTTCTGATTGGCTACTGGAGATCAGACCCTTCACATTCTCTGCCATGTACAGTATCCATGGGCAGAACTGGACTGTCTGTTATATTCTAGATTAGTAATCAGGGGTCTTTTTGTAGAAAAAGACCTGCAGGAGCTTATTAGCATATGGTAGGCTAATCAGCTACTAGGCTATTAGCGCATGCCACACCCCCTGACATCACCGGAAGTGATGTCAGAAGGGGAAGCAAAAAGGGGGGAGGCATCTTCAAAAGCCTACTCTTCCCTTCCCCAGCTGGCCTGTGGTGGGGGGAGCGAAGAGAGAAGGGGTTTAAACTTTAAACCCCTTCTCACTAGAGTTGGGCCACAGAAGGAGGAAAGAGGGAAGGAAAGAGAGAGAGTAGAGAGAAGGAAAGAAGGAAATAGAAGGAAAGAAGGAGGTAAAGAAAGAGAGAAGGGAAGAAGGAAGGAAAGAGGGAAAGGAGGAAAAAGAGAAGAGAAGAATGCAGGAAAGAGAGAAAGAGAGAAGGGAAGAAGTAGGGAGAAAGAGGAAAAGTAGAGAAGGAAAGGAGGGAATGAAAGAAAGAGAGAAGGAGGAAAAGAGAGGAAGGGTCTCCAACCACCCCCCATCAAGCCCCTGCCACCCCCACGGATATATTACTTACCGCTTCAACGGGGGTTGGGGAAGTTGGCGATGGGGCTCTCTGGGTGTCCACAGTGCTTCTGCGTGGGCTGGGGGCAGGGCTCTCTGGGCCTCCCCCGAGCCGCAGTGCTTCTGCGTGGGCCCGGGGGACCCGGCAGCGGGGCTCTTGGGCCTCCCCCGCCTGCAGTGCTTTTGGTGCAGGGAGGCTGGGGGCAGGGCTTGCCATCATGTGGGCTGCTGGAGCAGCGCTCCGGCTCCAAAAGACCCCTGGATTAGTTCAATTCTCTCATGCTTGAAGGAGGCCGCGATGCTTGGAATCCTGTCCATTCCACCAAGAGAAACTGGTTCATTTAATAAGATAGTGTCTAATTCACCTCATCTGCCTCTAAACATGTTCTTGGGACTAGCTGGGTCTGCAAGGAAATCAGTTTCTAATGCACCACCTCCAGTAATTTACAGACAAAAATAAACACATCCTTACAATAGAAGCATTGTGCTTGGTAAGTAAGAACTGCTAGAGTATAGGCGAACGTGTTGCCCTGAGGCAATGAAGAATGAGGCTACATTTCTGCACAAGGGCGTAGATAATTAGGAAATGCTAGGTCCCATTACATGGACCCCTAAAAAAGTACACTATGGATTTATCCTGTGGAGTTCAAGTGTGAAATGTCTTGTATTTTACATTAATTAATTACATATTTCATTCCCTCCACATCATATTTTGGAGGAGCAAACTCGGAATGCCTTTCCGCAGGCGAAAATGAAAACTACTAAACTAGCTTTAAATTCACTGTAGGACAAGCAGTTTCTCTCGGGCCAAGGATGGAACCAACCTGCAAATGTACCACGATTCAAGGTGGAACTGAATCTTGTTCCCCCATCCCTTAGCTGCTAATTGACCTAACTGACACGGAGCAAAGTCGTAGCAGGCATTGTTCGTCTCGTTTGGTAACCCCCCTCACTGGAGTGAAGACCGAGAACTCTACTGTCACCAGCCTCAGTGTTCCCAATCTCTAGCTGAGACTCAAAGTGGGAACATTAGAACTCCTGTTTGAAAACAAAACAAGTCTAAGCCTTCTTCCAGTTATGAAACTAGTTTCGTTTTCTCTTTGTTTGTTTTTTGACCAGTAACACTCCTGTACATTCTAAAGGGGTGGGGTGGCCAGGCCTGGGTTGGGAAATTCGTGGAGATTTAGAAGGGAAGACTGGGAAAGGGGGGCGGGGGTTGGGAGGGGAGGGGAGGGACCTCAGCGGAGATAATGCCATCAAGTCCACCTTCCAGAGGAGCCATTTTCTCCAGGGGAACTGATGCCTGTAGTCTGGAGAGCAGTTGCAATTTTAAAAGGTCTCCAGGCTCCACCTGGAGGTTCAACTGTAACAAAAAAACAAACAAACCCAAGTGTGCCGCATGATGGAATGAACTCCCATCTCTAGTTCCAGCTCCTGCCAACCTAGCAGTTCGAAAGCAAGAAATTGCAAGTAGATAAATAGGTACCACTTCAGTGGGAAGGTAACAGCGTTCTGTGCGCCTTGGTGTTTAGTCATGCCGGCCACATGACCACGGAAACGTCTTTGGACAGCGCTGGCTCTTCGGCTTGGAAACGGAGATGAGCACCGCAACCCTAGAGTCGGATTTGACTGGCTTTCGAGCAAGGGAACCTTTACCTTTACCTTTACTTGGGCACTGGAGCTTTTTATTCACCTGACATGAGGCATGGGTTCTTTTTTGTTATCGTTTATTGTGCCACCTGTTGTTTTATTGGTTTTGTTGCTTTTACTGTTTCATGAAGCTTATGTTGTAAGCCACTCCGAGCCCACTCGTGGGATAGGGCGGGGTATAAATTAAATAAATAATAATAATATCTCTGCCCCCCTCCCAACGCTCCCACCTGTTGCCATCACTCAGCTGGCAACCCTGTTACTCACGGGTGTCCCATTGTGTTCAGTGGGGCTTACTCATTAGTAAATGTGTGTACCCTGCAGTGTCAGTGTATTTTATTGATTATATTGTAGATACCCTTCCCTTCCTCCAAAGAATAGTGTTGTAACTTCACAACAGCCTTGTTCGAGGAGATCTGGAAATCTAATATATTTCATTAATTAGTTTTGGATTATGTACAGTGATTTGGATTGTGTACACTGATAAAGTACTACATGAAGTGAAGTCCCATTGTGCCCCTGTCGTAGTTTTAGGCTGAATGTCAGCAGATTAGTAAATTATATTAAAATATGTTTTGTCTTCCCTTCTGGTAATTAAATACAGCGTATCGTCAATTGCCGTTCTCTCCTAACATGTATAAAAATAAAAGTTCCATAAAGACGTGGGGGGATTATCTGGATATGGTGATTGGGCACCTGATCCAGCAACCTTTGCAGAAGTTCAGCAGATGTGGGTGGGCCTGGCCACAGTCTGGGTAAGGGACCTCATGGAAACCTTATACACAGTGCTTCGGTGATCCCCCAATACAGTGGGTGCCGTGTCCCATACCAGTGTGTCTCCTGGCCTCTCTTGTTTCTCCCCCAAAGCGTCTCTTCTCCAAGCAAACAGCAGGTCCTGACTTTGCTCCCCTTTATTTATTTTAAATATTTATTTAGATGTCCGTATTATAAGGTGGTGTGTAATTAAATCACTCCGCTGACTGAACAAATTCCGGGTCTTTCCGAAAAAGCTAGACTCGAGTTTCTTCTATCTGATAGAAACCCCAAAATGACCCACCAAGTAGCCAGTTTCGGTATGGTGATACTCAGATCACGGAAACTCTAAGGTAGCTAGTTAGATATAGGTAAAGGTTCCCTTGCTTGAAAGCCAGTCGAGCGACTCTAGGGTTGCGGTGCTCATCTCTGTTTCAAATTCGAAGAGCCAGAGCTGTCCGAAGACATTTCCGTGGTCATGTGGCCGGCATGACTAAACACCAAGGCGCACGGAACGCTGTTACCTTCCCACTGAAGTGGTACCTATTGATCTACTTGCAACTTCTTGCTTTCGAACTGCTAGGTTGGCAGGAGCTGGAACTAGAGACGGGAGCTCACTCCGTCCTGCGGCACCCGGGTCTCGAACTGCTGAACTACTGACCTTCCACAGCCTGCAGTTCAGCGTCTTAACCACTTGAGCCACCGCAGATATAGTTGTTTGATATTAGATTAAATTTTAATTTTCTTTTAATGTGTCACTAATGTATTTTACAATCTTGGAATATTGTAAAGGTGTACTTCTTTTTGTATGACTGGTCTAAGGACTGTAGAAATAAATTAAATTAAATTAATTTAGAGTAGGAGGTATTTCAGAAGATCTCCTTTATGTCAGCAGGGAGCACCCATTTGGAAAAGCTCCTTCCATCGTAGAAGGATGCTTGGCTTGGAACTTTCTGACGTATTGTGGGACCTCTCGGTGTTCTGTGGTTGGATCCAGCCCTTTGGACATCCATGTTATGATTTGTCCTACCACTTTGGCAGCCATTTTGTTGTGGCCCCCTTAACCTGTCCTCAACATTTGAAAAATGCCCACAGGTTCAACAACATTGGGGACCCCCGTGCTACCTTGAGTTCAGCAACGGAAGAAAGGTGGAATCTCAGCGTTAATAATCAACCAGTGAAAGGGGAATGCGAGCAGAATCATATCCACAGGTCCTGCCCCTCTTTAACTGATCTGTATCCTGCATTTTTCAGAAATTGTCCGCATATAAAACAATGTAGGTTCCACATGCTAGAGCTGATCAACACCTGGAAATGTGGGTGGAACCAGTGGACATGATCCTCCTTCCGCAAGTTGGTTACCCCCACATGTAGTCATCCGCACAGAACTAGGGTTGTGCCTGCCCTAGGGCCAGAAAGTACTGATGGGAGAAAATTAACTATTGACACCATCTCTCTTACAGAAAATGTGAAGGTTTGTCTTCTGATTCTCAACCAGCCTTTGGACAGAGGTCACATCCATCATCTGTGGAGCAGAGGTAAGAAAAGCGTTGCCCAATCTCCCCATTGGCTTATTTTTGCTCAGTTGACTCCGGCTTTGATGTTCTTTCTGTCTGTTCCCTGTGGAGCAGCACTGGCTAATTTTCAGGGGGTTGTTGGGAATCTGGGAAACTGTGATCACTGAGGTGAATCTGCATTACATCATTTCACCCTGCAAGTGGGAACTCAGCACACATGAATATCCTCCCTACAGCCCCTGCACTCCAAATCACCAATCATGGGAAATTAGCATGCGGGGGAGAAAACTTGGCAAGAACCTTTCTCCTTGTCAGCAAGCTGCCAAAGGTTAATAAGGGTTATTACTTTATGTGGTGGTTACCTTAAAACCCCCCTCCAGCCGACCTCTCATGCACATGTCTAACCAGACTCTCATGCGCTCATCTTCCAGTACATATGCATTCCTTTCTATGTACGCTAGTCTTGCTTTGAAGTAATGCTATTGGACCAAGGCCACAGGTGGGGAAGAGCAAGCCGCTTTGCTTAGCCTTTATGAGCAGTAGTGTGGGAATATTAGAATTGTTCATCTTTAAGGGAACGTTGGTTCTCAGGGTTTTGGCGCGAGCAAGGCACTCCAGCCGCTCGCGCGGGAATCTTATCTATTGGCCACTAGAATTATGAACTTGCTTTATTATACCTTGCACAGCCCATTTTGTTATTCTGAACAGCGTCTATGTTCCAGTACGTCATGGCTTCAATAAAGTAAAACCTTTCTACAAGCGTGTACTTGATTGCCAGCTGTGGGGTCTGACACTCCTTAATATTTAGTTTTCGGCATGAAGAGAATGTTCCGTATGGAGAAGCAGTTGGTCGTGGGAAGGCCCCTGCCCACAGCCTGGAACGGTTTGCAGGTTTGCCACCTCGCTGAGAACCAGGCCAGAGAATGATGCCCTCTGTGACACGATATCGCAGCTGCGCTCATTCTAGGCAAATGTTGCATATCTTATATCGGAGGTCACTTTATGGACTGAACGGGCAGGGAAGGATTTTTGTGGGGGGAAATAAAAGCCTCCCAGAGCGTCTCGAGATCCTTGAGTTTGTAATAAACTGCAGTGAATCAATGCTGCATTTAAAATTTAAGGGGGGGATGTGTTTCCGAAAGGTCACCAACAAAGTGTGCCCGTTTAATTACAAGAGAAGAGAGCTTGTAACCTTTTATCATCAACAGCGGGTTTCTTTCTTTCTTTCTTGGTTTCTCCCCCCCCCCCTTTCCCTGCTAGAGGTTTGTATGATTTGAATAAGCAACGTTGAGCTCAGAGCCTTCGGATAAATATAAGTCATGAGAGGCTCGCAGCTATTTCCTCTTTCCATGGGAAAATCAATGCCGGGTCGGAATGCTCGCCTTCGAGATCCTTGCAATATTTCAGAGCAGAGCCAAAAGCCTCTTTCCAGCACCCGTTTATTGCGTTTCCGATAACAGGGCAAAATTGAGAGCAGGGCTGCGGCAGGATTTTCAGTGTGATTAAGAAAACAGTAAAACTTAGCCTTGTTGCAAAGCGCCCCCCCCCCAGCTGTGTCTGAGAAGCAATGTAATGGGCGAGGCTCGGTTTGCATCCCCGTGCTCTGTAGCTTAGGAGTAAGCCCATTTCACCTTAGTGAATTCCCATTGGATCTCGGAAGCTAGGCAGGCTCAGCCCTGGTTAGGACTTTGGCTGGGAGGAGAAGGAGATTGGATTTATACCCCACCGTTCACTACCCGAAGGTGTCTCAGAGCGGCTTACAATCTCCTTTCCCTTCCCCTCCCCACAGCAGACACCCTGTGAGGTAGGTGGGGCTGAGAGAGCTCTGACAGAAACTGCTCTTTTTTCAAGAACAGCTCTTATCAGAGCTATGGCTTGCCCAAGGCCGTCCAGCCAGGTGCAAGTGGAGGAGTGGGGAATCAAACCTGGTTCTCCCAGATTAGAGTCCGCACACTTAACCACTGCACCAAACTGGGAGGCCACTAAGGAGGTCCCGGATGGTTACACGGAGGCAGGCAGTGGTAAGCCACATTTGAGTGTCCCTTGCCTTGAAAACCCTGCAGGGTCACCATGAGTCAGCTGCGACTTGACGGCACTTCAGAGGCGCACAGCTAGAGATGTGAAAGCCCGGAAAAAAACTGAAACCTTTTTGTTTTTTTCCGAAAATTTGGAAAAATTGAAAAAAGGGGAAAAAAATGATTATGGAACGTTTTATTTTAACATGATGAATAAAATATTTTAAGACAAGGTGTTCAAATATTTTCCAAATCATTTCTAAAATATATATATATGGTATCAGATTGATCTAATTTCTGTGCACTGAGGACAAGCAAGTCCTAGGTTACAAACTGAACCCTCCAATGCAAGAACAAGATGCATTTCTTCCTTTAAGAGGTGCGATTGTCAGAAGAAAATAAAAAAGTTTCAGTTTTGTTTTTGCATGTGGGTGGGTATTCTGTTTGAAATAATTGTTTGGATACACTATATTTTTAATATGCTAGTTGTGATAATTTCATGCCAAGTAAAAATGTCCATAGTCATATTTTATGTTCCTAAAGTAACAGAATGACTTTCAATCTAGAAAAGACAAAAAAAAAATTGCTAATGTAGCATTTTTTCAATTTTTTCGAAAATTTCCATTCCCCCCCAAAAAAACCCGGAAAAAAACCCGGTTTTTTTTCCGAGCTTCAAAATTTCCAGAAATTTTACATCTCTACGCACAGCAGTGTCTCGCACTGGGTTGTGAGAGTGTCGGGAACACCCCCATCGCTCAGCTTCATTCCCCTCTTACAGTCTGCAGCGTGGGAATCACAACAATGACCTATCTTCCCTTGCAACTCCTCCTTATGCATTCTTGGCCCACTTAGATAATTAACGGAGTTGTCAAGATCTGCTTCCCGAGCCCTGCTGTTTGCGCTCACACTTACAGAGGGGAGGCAGGTGGTGGCTACAGACTGGGTATTTTCAGTGGTGGCACCTCCCCTTTGGAATGCCTTCTCCTTCAAGGCTAACTTGTCTCCTACCTACTAGCCCTGTTCACATGTTACAGTGAACTTGTGTACAACCTTGGTGTACGTGTGTATGCCTGATTGTAAGAAAAACCCAATGCACGTCCACTTTATAAACAAAATTGGGCACCAATTCCTTTGGGGTTTCAGTTACTTGTTCAGTGGTGCATGCATTGAATGTAACATGAGAAATGTACATATAAGGAAAAATCAAGTGTACCCTGTGCGCTGGTTGTGCATACATTCACTGTAACTTGTGAACAGGTTACAGTCTTTTAGGTGCCAGGCCAAAACTTTTCTTTTCGTCTGTCTTTTTAGGTGAGGGGTTCCATCCTTTTAAAATATTTTATGGTCTCTTCTAGCCGGTTTTATGGATATTTTAAGGCTTCTCAATGGGAATTTGGGCTGTTTTTATGTCCCTGGCTTTTTTTCTTTTAATGTCTTGCTTTTTGTATTGATGATTTATGTTATTTTTATGGTTTTCATTGTAAGCTGCCTCAAGCAGGTCTGCAAAGAGGCTGCACACGAATTCTCTAACTAAATTAATAAAAGTGTGATTGATAGAAACAAGGTAAACAGAGAAGTTAAAATTACCTTAATGCAAAATATCAGCATTGCTGCTGTGCGTTGGATACCTGCTGTGATGATAATTGCCTAACTAGCTGTGAAGTTCTGTGCAGAGTTTCTCCATTCTAAAATCACTGAAAAATGAATAGTTTTAGGCTGGGATAAATCTATGTAGGACATTTCCTGGGAAATAAGCCCCACAGAACTCATGGCTAGGCCCAAGAAGGCCAGAAAGGAAGCAAGAACAGGAAGCAAGAAGGCAGCAAGGAACAGGTGCCGGCTTTAGGAAGTGGGGTGAGGTGGGAAGCAGGACTGAAACCCAGCAGGATGAACCACATCAGAGGGCTGTTGGGAACCATCTCTCTTGGGATGAGGAGAGGTCTCCCACATTGCTTCGGTGGACCTGGATTACATCGACATTTCCTTTAGTGTCTGAAGAGGGAATCCTTGATTGGCGGGGTCTGCTGCTCTATAACCTTTAGTGGGCAAATCCGTGTGTGTGGCCAACTGTCTGTTTCCTAAAACTCTTCTTGGGTCCCAGGCAATGTTCCCTCTAAGCTGTGGGGTCTTGTGAGCAAAAATTCTACCTTGTGAGCTATTGGCATTAAAGTTGTGAGCGAGCAATTTGGCTGCTGCATAAATTAGTTTGCTTTGGAGCCATCCCTTCCTGAGCTAAGACAAAAATCTGTGAGCCGGAGTCTAAAAAACTGTGAGCTAGCTCACACTAGCTCAGCTTAGAGGGAACACTGGTCCCAGGCACGCTGATCGTGAGCTTGCTGGGAAAGCTCAGGCTTGTGGCCATGCAAGCATCTCTGTTGCCAGAAATACTGGCAGGATGCCAGGGCTTGCAGACCCACTAGCTGACTATGGACAGACTGCCCTTTCAGGGTGTTGGCATGTTACACGGTTGCCGAGAGGTCAAGGTTAAGTATTGTCTGTGGCACTCTGGCAGCCGTCTCATTTTACCAGGAGACGTCAGAGACTGAACCCAGATCCTGCTGCACGCAGAACCAATGCTCTACCACTGAGCCATAGACCCACCCCCCAATTAAACAAATTTTAAAACAATTTTCTTATTAAACTCATATGATAACATTTCCATCCAGTATAGTTTTTTCATGTAATAACTTTTTCACCCAATATAGAGATCTCTCAGCCCCACCTACCTCACAGGGTGTCTGTTGTGGGGAGGGGAAGGGAAAGGATATTGTAAGCCGCTCTGAGACTCCTTCGGGTCGTGAAGGGTGGGGTATAAATCCAATCTCCTCCTCCTCCTCCATCTTCTTCTTCTTTTTTGCTGAGTTCCAGCTTCCCCCTACAAAACTCCTGGCCTTTCCCACCGCAAGATGATGGGCTGGATCTAAGCACACTTTCTCATCACATCCGATGCTTCTGTGGAAAAACCTCTCATGCATTGGTACGAGTCTCAGAAGTATTGCTTGTTGT